ATAATACAGGAAATACGATCAATACAAAGAAAAGAAGCAATCTGGTCCTGCCCAATATATGATCCAGAAGTATTTAACCAAGATAATTGGATACTCTATACTGCCAGAATCGCCAAGAATCTAAAAATCCAAATCTGTCCAACTGAATACCCAAACCATCACCCAAATGCGATAAACTCAATAGGCCTTCTATTAGCCAAACTTCAACCAAACACCAGAACTATTGCAATCAACACTGCCAATGCTCTCAATATCCAGTTCACAAACCAACTTATGAAGTTCAACAGCATGATTAAACTCTTCTGGTTCTAACTAATAGCTTACACAGGAATCATCTGTTGTGGACCAGAACCCTGTTGGTTCAAAAACTTCACTAATCACAGCAGTTTACTAGGATCCCATGGACCAACATCCAATCGCAAAGCATTTTTCTGGCTTATCTACAACACTAACACTATTGTCAAAATTTACAAGAGACATTATCATATTCAGGAAAATCTCCATCTTAGAGGAAGACACTTCAATATGGATAACAACAATTTTCTTACCAAATGTGACGGTTGCCCAGCTGGTATTTCAAGTGCTGGCTCTTGTACAATAAACTTCACAAGCTCAAAAGCATCCTCCTTATGGGTCCTCTCCAATCCTTCAAATCCTAACAAGTATTGTCTAAGCAATATAATCGAAAAGATTTCAACATATTCTCCAATCAGTAGACATTTTCTCTAACTCCCCTTCCATCTCAACACTCCAGAAAATTGATTTTCCTCAGTCATATCATATTCAAAGTCATCGAGAACACATTTTTATAAATAACTTCAAAGTCAAACTAAACAATCCTGGCCTTTCACCTGGCAACCTACTACAAGTCCTCTTCAATCTTCTTTATTGGTGCCCTTCTAACAATGAAATTGAAATAAGAAGTAACAAAAAGATACTTCAAGAGATCTCTAACTATCTTAGAAAAATGACAAAAGTCAACTTCTTCTCAATCATCCAAAAAATTAACAAGATGATACTCAAAAAAACAATACTTCTCATCTACTCCAGTCCCAAGTCAAATCCAAGGGCCAACAACACCATAAACTGGAACAATCCAATACTGTACTTTTCAGAAAACCCTCCAATTAACAATTCTCAACTGGATAGTGGTGTCAGATGGTGCAAAAAGATCCTCAGCATCTCCAAAGTATATATAATAGTGAAAAGCTCATCAGTACTAAAAACATTTGACTCCTCTCACAGTTCTAAAGGTATTAAAATTATCAACAAATCTAACAAAGACTTAAAAAATACACGAAGCAACAAATATAGTGACCTAATCACCTTTCGCATTAAACTCTTGTCAAGAACTCTTCCTACATGAGAAAATCTCCACCAACAATATCCAGACCAATATTCTGATCCAGCCTATGTCAAATTCAATGGCATCTATAAGTCAGGATTTATCTATACCCAAATCGCACTTATCAGATATTAATTAAGTTAACATAACTAAAAATTCTAGCTCCTTTGGAGTTGCTTCCAGCAATAAGCAGAGCTCGGTGCATCTAACACATCAAATCGATGAAAATACCTTGCATTTAGATTCTATTGTTACTTTCGATAAGCGGGTTAAAAATAGAAAACCAAGATCTAGGGGCATAGCCCCATTGCAAAGCAATAAATCTGTACGGATTTCTGATTCATCTAATAGTGGAGCTAGTGCCGAGGCACATATAATCAATAGGGGTGATATACCCAATACCCTAACAAAAAAAGCAAAAAAAAATGACCTGTATACTTTAATTGAACGTGATCGTAAAGAATTAGAAGTAGTCGAACGTGAATCAGAAAGAATTTTAGCCACGAAGTGACTGCTTTCAGCAAATCCCAGTTAATCTATCTTTGCTTTTTCTAAAGTGTTTTGCATTCCATATAATATATCACTATTGGTAACCTTCTTGGACTTATTTATATGAAGTTGCAATTTTCTATTAAATTCCATTAATTTAACCTTGGATGCGAGTACCTCATATAGCGATTTTTTCAACTCCTCATAACTCATACGTTTTTTTTTAGCACCTTTGGTACTTGCTTTGCTAATGGTGAATCGTCAGAATCTAGAGATAGGGTCTCATTACTTTGCGATAAGCTAAAACCCGCAGGAGCATATCACTTATCGAATGGTATATTATCATCCTTATCACAATTTGTCTCCTGAGAAATTTGATAGGATACTGAAGGCTTATGCACGTTAGTACTCTCATCCTGAGATGTAGTTGCATAGTTCACTTCGAGTTTATTCTTAACCTTGTGCATAGTTACAGGAATAATGTAATCCTTTCCATTATAATGAATCTTTAACTTATCTTTATCCCAATCAATACTGCATTTATATTTCTTGAGAAGTGGATTCGGAAATATCAATGTTGGTTTGGGAACTCGTACGACTACAAAATCTTCACATATAGTAAATCCTGGAGGAAATGTTATTGGCAAGTTATAAATAATATCAACAGATTCCGTTGGAACAGTAGCAACACCACTAAGATCATATTTTTCTGACCTATCTATTTTTCCGCCTATATGTTTAACAATATCCTCTGATATAATTGCCATCTCAGCCTCACTATCAATAACCATTGCTGGAATTTTCAATTGTCTGATCTTACATGGTATAGTTGCAATACTTGTGTCAGGTTCTTTCCGACAGACGAAATCTATCTCCATAGGATCTTCCAAGGTCTCCTCTTCTTCATCCGATTCTGAAATTATTGAAGCTGGTTCTCTATACCTTATGGAGTCTGATATCTGGGTTGTTGGTACCGAGCTGGATAAATTTTCAATATCAGATTTCAGTTTCTCTAACCAATGCACAGGTAAAGCCTTCTCAAGCATATCCAATAAAATTCGTCGAATACTCTGCTCAAGGGTAGTTGAATTATTTCGGGATTTACTGGAAGTGGAAGTATCCTGTTTCTTTTTGCGTGATTTAGATTTCTTCTTAGTCTTGGAATTCTTAGGTTTTACTTTTTTTTTGATTTAACGGCATTGACAGCATTTATAATTTTTATAACATCCGTCTCAGTGAAGTCATTCTCAGAATCAGATTTCGATTCGGAACTAGAGCTGGACCCAGAGTTGGAGCCAGAATTAGATTCATTATCTGAAGAGTTAGTATCAGAATCAGAGCCAGAATCCAAATCTACAGTAGCAATATTGACATTGCCTTTTTTCTTGGACTTGCACTTGCTAGAACGACCAGATTTGCTTTTGTTAGAATGATCAGACTTGCTCTTCTTTTTATTTCCAGGACAATTACGAGAATTACTGTATGACCTGGTTTACCACATTTTGAGCATTTATATTGTAATAATTTTGAAACAGCATGTATTACTCGAGCCATTTTTGCCTGGTTAATTCCTAACTGCTCAAATTGTAATCTCAAATCTTCTATAGGGTCATAGTCATATTTTTCTCCCGGTAGACTGGTATTATCTATAGCTTCATCTAAAAAATGGTTCATAGTAATAATATCTGCTTTTTGTTTTCCTGGTCCCGAGGATTTCTTCAAAGTTTGCTGTCCTTTAGCAACAACTCCCTTCAAACCAGCTACAATCTTTTTGAAATCATCTTGTGAAAGTGTGATTTGGTTATCCTGGGACTTAGAAGAGATGGTTTGCGAGACGGGTTGTGATTGTTCAGACATTATAGATTTTACCAAGTTTCTGACGTTAGCTTCGGTCATACCCGTATCGCTGGAGTAATAATCTTTTTCCCGAGATTTGGATGATGGCTTATAGCCAGACTGAGGTATTTTAGAAACTAAACCCAGTCTTTTTTCCAATCTGCGTGTTTCAATTCGTTCTAATGTAGTAAAAAGATCTTCTAAGGGTTGTTCAGTGCCAATACGCTCCGCATCATCCTCTAGATCAGGAAACAAGCCACGTAAAAACTGGCCTTTGATTTGCTCCTCATCATGGTTTAACATTTTCCTGTACTTTCTAAGTTTTGAATAGAATACTCCTAAAGGATCATCACCCTGAGCCAATGATCCAAACACTAGATTATGTTTCTTACTAAGTACTGTGGGGTACTTATTCTTTAACCAATATAAAGCCTGCCCGATCCGTATATTATCAAATATGATAGGATTATTATTAGCAGCATTCATTGCATTGACGGGTCTATCTGATGAACGGCCCTCGGCTAAATGCCAATCTTCTATAAAAGCTTCTGCTGGAACCATCGAGTTCCCTACTGTTACAGCATTATTAGCAAGGACATTACATTAGCATAGGTATAGGCAATAGAGGGATTTCTAAAACTATTAGTATTATTCATTTGTGCCATGGTACGTCCTTGAACACCAGCTATATTAGCTTGTCCATGATTTGCGAGAATGTTATGAAGCTCCCATCGTTTACCAAGAATTTTTCGATCGAACCAGTCTAATGCTGATCCAGATAAACATCCCCGTAGAATACCAAAAGCTCTATCTCGGGCTACACCTACTGGATTTACATCTATACCAGCCAAATATGCAGAAAAGCAACTAATAAAAATATCAATATCCTCATCATGATTACCTGAAAATGTTGGTGCCAGAATTGTTGCCATACTTGTTCGATTATTATTTATATGCAGATTATTCTAAAGCACAAAAATTTGCTGATTCAAATTCAAAATTAATTGCCTAGCATTATGTGTTCTATTTTTCCATTTTTTGTAGCTTGGAACAACATGATCATACCAAAATTTTAAGAAGACTTTATCATAATTACATTGTCGCAACTCTTGCTTTAATCGGTGGATAGATACTTTATAAATAATTTCAAAAATATGCTTGAGTTTAGATTGTTCTTCTAATACCAAAGTAACATTATGCCACAAACGCCCCCACATATCATATTTTTGTTGTAATTCTCTACCATGCCTCTGATATTGCCAGCTTTTAAATATAAATGCAACCTTCTCAAGTAATAAAGTATTAACCCGTACCTGCATTCCTGTTTCCAATTTTTGAGCAATCCTCTGCCAGTGATGGGATTCTACCTGTTCATTATTATAAGCTATAGTCATTAAAGCAAAATTATTTTGAGAATTATTCTGTTCTTGGGTAAGCTGGTTAAGATTATTCTGTAAAGTAATACTATTCTGAATAAGTTGGTTAACTTGATTTTGCAAATTGATATTCTGTTGCCTATAACCATTAACATTCTGCTGTAACTGAATTATCTGGTTATCTCTGTCATCACGTTGATTTGTAATATCATCCAAATCCTGGTCTTTTCTTTGATAATTAGCTCAAATAGTGTTTAAAGACCCATGAATTCCTCCTATAATATTAATGGGGTTGTTTAGTGATGTACCACCTCCAAGATGATTTTCTAGCCGATCCAACTCTCGCTCAATTTGTATAAAAAGGTCAAAATTTGCCATATGTGTATATAAAAGATCTGATGATTTTTTTTTTTAGACAACATGTTATGGCTTTTTTGATATAATATATTTGATTTACCCCTGACCTCCACCAAAACATTTATAGTAGAATGTATCAAAAATGAGTGTACCCACTATTATAATTTATCCTTATAAGGAATTGCAAATTGTCCTATGTTTTATTTACTATAACATACCTGGATTCTATCCAAATAGTAAAAAATTGTGAAAAGCATGTCAAAAAGAAGGGTACGAACATTTCCAACTCAAATATATCACAGAATAGTTGGAGGATCAATATGATTATCAAATATTTCTTACGCCACAAAAGTGCAAGGCAGAAGCGAGTTTCCAGAAGATCAAGATACCCAATAAAGTTCATCAGTGTGATATATTAATTCATGTTCGCGATAATCAAGATGGTATGAGAATATTTGTTTGTAGTTTACTAGTAATTGATGTCTCAACTCGTTTCAAGGCTGGACATTCATTGACATCAAGAAATAGCTTGGAAATTTGGATTGCGATTAAAGAAATATATGAAGATCCTACCAATCCTCTTACCTGGCCCACATTATTGATGACTGATGGTGATGCAAGTTTTTGTGGAGCATTCTCTCGAGGAATGGAACAGTATAATGTTGTTATAAGAGTTGTTGATCTTTACAGTTTCGAGAGTTTGGCATTTATTAAAGCACTAAAAAAGAATGTAGCAAAACTTATATATAAAATTCAATATGCTATCGAGGGGCGATTAATGGAAGGGGGAAGATCACAATTATGGGATAAAGCTTTTCAAAAAATTCTCACCTACATGAATAATAGTAAAACCCGTCTTATTGGTATGACACCATCCCAGGCTATGACATTGAAAGAAGTTATATCCAAACCTTCTAGTAAAGCTAAAAGACCTATTGGAAAATACAAACAAAAATTACAGAAAGGTACTACAGTAAGGTATTTATTAAAACCTGGCGAGCTAGAAGGGGATCACAGACATAGAGCGACTGATCCATACTGGTCATTGCAGATTTATAAAATCAAAAAAAATGTTGTTGGTAAAAATCCGTCACAGCCGGTCTTATATTATCTCGAGGATAAGCCTATCGAATCTACTGCTCATTTGATGGGACGGAATCCAAAAAAACCTTTTAAGAGGGAAGAACTCCAAGTTATCAAAAATCCTGAAAATATCCAGTATCCACCAGACAAATTTATATGAAAATATCATATTGGATTTGTTAACTTCATTCGTATTTCTAATAATGAAGCATCTTAGGCTGAGGAATATGCCAGAAAACGTGATGGGTATTGTATTATGAAAACCGGGCAAATAAATGGATTTGGTGTATATCTCTGGTCATGTAAAAATGGAATTCATCAGTGGGAAGCGCCTTATAAGGTCTTGGTACAGAAATTTGAGTGGTGTCCGGTTTGTCCTCATTGAAAAGAGGAGTGCTCTGCGAGATATATTTTTGAAGATTTATTAGGCAAAAAATTCCCACCATGTACACCAAAGTTCTTGAATGGACTGAGACTCGATGGCTATAATGAAGAGCTAAAATTAGCATGGGAGCATCATGGCATCCAGCACTATCATCAGAATACAATGTTCTATAAAAAACAAGATAATTTAGAGGCTCAAATTTCACGGAATCAAAAAAAGCAGGTTATATGCAGGAGAGAAGACATAGATCTTATTGAAATACCTTATTTTGCTGATTTATATCCGTACATAAAAAGTGAATTGCAAAAGAAAGGTTATTTATCATATAACATATGATATATATTTTTCAATATAGCGTTTAGCATGAAAATAAAAAAGCTTGAACCAGTTGATAGGCTTATATATCACATTAACGAGATTAAAGATGCCAAAAAATATAATGGGCATTCGAGTGTCTCCCAATGGCCTTTCACTTTACTAATCTGTGGTCATACTAATTCAGGGAAAACTAATGAGATTCTTAATCTTATGCTCAGAAATAAACTTTATCGTATGTTTAATGGAAAGAAAGAAGGAACGAGATATATCAAGAATGATGACTTATTATTGATTGGTCACTAACTCAAGGAGCCAAAATATATGTATTTGAAATTAGCATACCAGATTATTGCAAATAGTCCCAAGCCCTATCGCGAAAATATTTCATTCCATGCTTTGAAGCCTGATAAAATTCCTAAGGTAGATTCATTTTCACCGGATAAAAGTACAGTAGCTATATTCGAAGATATATGTGCTGATCCTGAAAAAATACAGAAGAAAATTGCTTCTTATTTTGTCTAAGGACGCTATTATAACATCAGTTCAATATATGTATCACAAAGTTACTATGACTATTCAAAGCTAATACGAAAAAATCTCATGTATGTCTGCTTGTTTAACAGATTATCCACTACAGATGAACTAGTCAGAATTGTGCGTCAATATGCTAATGACTGGCGTAGTGTGATTAAAATTATTGACAAGCATTTATGTGAGCAAAAATTCATTGTTTTCGATCTAACCGTACCTCGAGAACATCCACACAGAATATGAATTGGCTGGGATTAAATTTTGATATTAGACGAATAAAGCGCAATATCAAAGTTAGACATAATATTTCGAAATCAGATAATTATTTTTTTTATCTATTATTTATTAATGCATCAATATAAATATATCTTATCTGCCACTTATGTTTTTGAGCTAATTGAATTCTGCCGATTTGTAGTTAGAGTAGATGTAAAAACAATTAATGTGAAAAAAATATATAAAGCAGATAAATAGATAAGTTATATGTTGTTATATGTTGTTATATATTGTTATATGTTGTTATATGTTGTTATATGTTGTTATAGCGGAACTAGTGTCTCTGACACATTAATGTAGGTAAAAAATCATTTTATTGATATTAATACCTATACATTATTGATTTGATGCATTTCTTTTCAAACTGCCCATAATAATTGATAATGTAATTCTAATTCTGAAGTGCAGAGACCATAGGGTTTATATATATATTCAATGAATTTATGCTGTATTATTGTACATGCTCAAAGTTTCTTACCAATTTCTCTTGCACGTTTAACTTTTCTGATAGCATTCTGCATCCACAATTCATAACGGTGTAATGCATACTCATTATTATAACTATGTTCCGAATTGGATTTTTGCTTAATTTTCATATATTCTTCATAACTTATATCACAAAAGGAATTTCCAGTACAATGAGAAGCCCAATGCCTCTCCATTCCTATATGATTATAATTACCTATATTTTTGGTTCGTTTTCCTGTATATACTAATTGATTGCAAGAGAAACATATCGCAATACCAATTTCAGGTGCATAACTTGTATAAAATTTATGACTCAAAGAGTCTAGGCTCTGCCCATTAAGATCACTCCAATATCTTTTTAACTTTCTAGCTTCAAGATATTTTTTGCTATTGTAAGGTAAGAGATCATTTTCTCTAAAATATGTAAGACGTTCCCAAATCCGTTTCATCCACTCACTGGGAGTTTCATTATCACGAACTTGTGACATCACACAATATTCAACCCATTCTTTATCTGAACATTTAGAACCCTGATGAGCTACTAAACAGCTAAAATCAACCATTTTATGACTTATTTATTAATTATATGAGATTATGCTATTATATCGGATTTAAGGATTTGGATCTATTTGATTTAATAACTATATACTCTAGAATAATGCCATTCAATTTTAGTACAGATACTCGAAGAGCGCCTTATAGGGCCTAGGTTATTAGATGAGTTGTGTATATTCATATATTTGCAAGTGACATACTGTATATGATAATAATGTGAGAGATCCATATTTATGTATAAATCGCTCATATATATATTACGATCTATGTTTGACACGTAAAATTTATTTCGGGTATGTGGATAATTGTTGCATAATCTATTTCGGGTGTGTGAATAATCGTTGCATACTCTATTTCGGGATGTTTTATTTATTTCTGATGTATTACAAGCATATTTTTTAATTTTCCAGCTATAAACAAATCCGAGATATGCAAATCCGAGGCATACAAATTCAGTCTCACAGAGTAAGGATGCTATTGCATCTAATTATACAATATGTTGTAATATGATATAGCCAAAGTGCGGTTATGTTAGTCTGAAATATACAATTATATGAGATTTTATTGTTATACATTCTTCTCT